ATTCCTGCTTTCCCCTTTTCTGTCTTGCCATGTGCTCTTTCAGAAATAAATTTAATTTAGTTCTGTCCCAGTCTTTAAAGTGAACTATAATAAATCACAGGCTTTGACAATTCATCTCTCAGTTGGGGAAGAGCATAATCAATCTGAATTTAGATGGACTAATAAAACAGTGCAATATCCTAGAATAAATATACTGTCAGATATAAACAAAACTTATGAGGTGAATAATCCCAGCCCGAGAAAGCACTAGTAAAATGGAAAGGCATCTGCATGGTACAGTGAAACAAAAATGAATATCCTTCCAAGGATGATTTATTTGCTTATCTGCTTTTAATAAATGTCTGGATTAGATAGAACAGATGTTTAGTGGCTTCATTTGAGTCCTTGAGCTCTTGAGTAAGAAGGAAAAGGTTAATACAGGGATGCATTTACCAGGACCAGGAGGACTGTGACCCTTAGTTAACACCATCCTATGCCGTGTGTGTTCACCTGGTGATAAATGTGGTAGCAGTCACATGCTGGCCCACCTGTCTTCTCCATGGTCCAGGTCTGAGTTGCTCTCCTGGAGAATGGAGATGGGTTGGCGGACATTAAATTACATTCCTGAATGTCACTGAAAGAGAGAAGCTGAGGATTGAAACTGAGAATGAAGACAGGTACTTGATGCTGTGTTGGGTCCATAAAACTTGGCTTTCAGAGTAGGTTGTGTGGCCTTTTCTCTCAAAGAGAGAGTTGAGATCATAGTTTTCCATAGCAGGCAATTATGGAAAAACCTTCTGCTGCAGAAGTTGTTGTCTTAACCCCAGGAAGCTACAGATATTTTCTGTCATGATGTATAAGATTGATGCTCCCCATACGTATTTTATCCTCCTTAGCTTAACAGGATGTTCTCATTCAAATAGCTAGTTCGTCCTGTGTGCTGAGTTCAGCTACGGTCTGGTGTAAGTTGTGACAGAAAGTCATGCAGCATGTAAAGGAGGACTTAGTTGATCAGTCTAAATGCGTCTCCTTTGTTTCACTGAAAGTCCCCTGGCCCTTGTGCTGTGAGGGAGGGTAAAGAGGAGTGCTTGGATTACCTTCACTGTGTCATTCTTTATTCTGTACCATATGGTGCCTCTTCCTCCTGTCCTGAATGCTCGCAGTATTTTTAGCCTCTCTTCATATGGAGGTCTCTGCATCCTGTAGAGGAGGAACACCCAGCCTTTTCACCTGGGCTGGGTTGAACCCACAGCCCCAGTGCCTTGCAGTTGGTCCTTGTATATGCAATATATCTGGCATGTCCTGGAGTGCTGGATTTGGCAAAGAAGGTGCCAGAGAGTAGTCCACTGCCACTGGAGCTGATTGTGCAGCCAGCTCCCTGCCACTTATTCTTGAGGGTCTCAGATGTAGGCAGGAATTAGCCCTCAGAGCTGGAGGAATTTTTCTGGCCCTGGCAGCCTTTTCTTACCTGAACCATTTTCCCTGAGTGTGAGGTCCCACAGCCCTTTCCTCTATGCCCTCCAAGTCTGAATGCATGACTATCACGCGATAAGGGAAGGCAGCCAAAAAAGGGGCTCTAGGCTGGGTGGGCTGTCCTGGCAGGCTATAGGTTTGGCAACGTTGCTCAGAGCAGTTTTCTCTACTGTTTCCCTCTTTCTGCTGCACCATTTGCAATGCAGTAGTCGGGAGTACTGGAGGAGGGACGGATGGTGCTGTTGACTTGCGTGATACGATAGCGTCAGCATTTTCTACCTGATCTTTATGGAACTGTACTTATGCTTATACACTTATGCTTATACACATGAATTTAATGTTAAACACCTGAACATCAAAAGCGTACCTGAATTAATGCTACTGGCTGTGTGGTTTAGCTCACAGACTCCACACAGAGCTGTATTCAAGAAGCAGGCTTGTCGGCTGAATGCTATGTACACAGCTCTTCCATTTTCAGTGACTGAGTGATTGCTTGTCTGGTTTATGTTTCATGCAGTTTAGCTGTTACGTTGCTACCGCAGATGCTAGGCTGCCAGCCCAAGACTTTTCAAAATGAGTAACTATGGACTGACTCACAAGCTTGATTTTAAATAAGCACCTTAATATGTGGCCTGATTTAAAAAAAAAAAAACAATAGGGAGAACAGAAGTGCCAGAGTGTCTACATTCTTGAAAACCAAGCCCTGACTTTAGGAACTCATTTTCTAAAACATTGACCTTAAATTTATGTTGCCCCCAGCCTTATATGCTGGATGGGAGGTAAAGAGCCAAACGCATGCTTTAAACAGGGTATTACCCAGAGGTGCCTATCAGAAGACAGCCTGCCTGCTTTATGCAATATTCCATTTAATCAGGACATACTTAATCTGAACTGTGCTTTATTATGATGTTTCCCAAGGCACCAGATTAGCATAATGGTATTAAATAGCAGTGACTTCTGCCTAATCAGGGCAGAAAGGTAATGTGTGCTTTTTCCCTCCCAGGACTTGGTCTGCTCAAGCTCTGTGGATGTGGCTCGGAAGGTGTTGGTGACTTTAAGATCCTTCTTGGAAAGAAATGAGGACGTTCTTGTCTGTGACCTCCTTCGGAGTCAGTTCCTACAGGTTCTGCAGCAGCTGCTGGTAGAGAGCAGCTCTGCCTCCTTACAAGGTGACTGCCTCTATGACTTGGGTCTTGCTGTGGGATCAACTAGCAGGGGTGGGTGGCTGAAGGGATTCAGTATGGGATGAAGTGTTGTTGAACTGCTGATGTAGCTTCAGTACTTATCTGCATGAGGAAATTTACTGGCTGAACTGTACAGAACTAGTTTCCTTTTCCAGAGGCTCCTGTTCTGAAGTGAGTTCTGAGCGAGTCTTTTTCTGATGTAGGTTGTTGTGTTTTCAAAGAATGAGTGTTAAGCCAAAGCAGGGTGTTCTTATGCTCCCATAAGTGTTCACATGGAGAGCTGTTGTGGGTAAATCTCCCTGCTTAAACAAGTGGTCAGCTGGTGAGGGAAAGGCATTCTCCTTTTTGCCCCTTCTCTGTGTAAAACAACTTGGCGTGCCTGAGTACAGTTCCCAGGGCGCAGAGGCTAGGAGGAGAGATTGTTTGAATCATGCATGATATTGATCTCCAGAAAGGAATTGTGATATTATCAGGTTTCATAAATCTATTAAAACTTTGAAAGACTTAGCAGGGTTTTGACTGGGAGAAATCTCTCTGTTTTCCTTATTAGCCCTGATTTTGGCGCTGGGACTGTTGTCCTGTTGTGAAAAGCACTGTGCAAAGCAGCATGTAGGCCTAAACTGAAGGAAGAAGCAATGCTGGGATCTCTTTGGCTTCCCCTGGATATGGGACCCAGCGCAGCCTTTGCTTTTTCCTGAGGGGGTACTGAAACTTGTTACAGCCCTGCTCTGCCTGAGGGTCTTTGCTGGGCAGCAGTAGTGATGGGAGCACAACCTCTTTGCCAACCCCTTGGAACCTCTTTGCCAGTCCCTTGGTGTATCCTCATTAGAGGGGGAGGGACAGTGTTTTTTGCCTTACCTTCAGCAAGGTGTGATAGGCTAGAGAAGAGGGGAGTTCAAAACAGGAGCCTGGCAGAACATGAGGCTACAAGATTATGAATAAAGTGGCCAGTGTTGGCATCTACTAGATCTGATCTTGTTCGGTATTGTGCACATTTAGCGTTGTGGTGTCCCTCTGTCACTAATCTAGTGACGCCAGG